TAAGAACTAGTTTCTAAAATGTGAAACCGATACAAAAACTGCATCCTTAGATGTTCTTGAAGCAACAAAAACTCAAGCCTGATCAGAGCAACAGTCATCCTCTGTATATAATGAGCAACACTTGTCACCACACCCTTTGGGTCTAATTGTGTATGTACTGATGATGCCGCTCACAGAGGATGAGGCAGCAGGGAATGAGATCACTAACTGAAACACCTCTACAAGTGGCGTGAAGAGAACAGAAGACCCCCCCCCCCCACTAATCCCCTCCTTCATTCACTCCCATTAAGTCTCATTTCCAAGAATAGTGGGCAGGCTGTAGGTATGAATAATGGAAGCAGCCTCCAGGAGCTCATTTTCAGTGAGTGATCATCACTCTAAAGTAAGGCCTAATGATCACACAGATAAAGTGAGAGGCTGGCATGCATGATTAATGTCCTCAGGTCTGTTTCCAGCGCAGTCCCTCCTGTCAGATCCTCTGACCGCTCTGAGCGCACCGTATGTTGCATTTAGGAAAACAAGATGCAACGTGACTCACTGGACTCAGCATCTCTCCCCAATTAAAGAGCAAGGTTAGGAGATAAAATGGGCTAAAACTTCAATGAACGAGCAAATCTGTGCCGCAAATCCGTGTATCTGATCACCGTGACGTTTTAAGTTTAATCTGAATACAAATAAAATAGATTTTGCCAGAATTAATTTTAAATTCATTGTAGGTTCAAATGACTTTTTTTTTTTTTTACATAATTTTGTAATTTTTAATTAGTGTTTTTGTTCATGAATGTGTTGTTTTACATTGTCTTCATAGATTTATATATTTGTTTGATTATTTAGTAGGGGTGCACCAATTGCAGTTTTCTGGCCGATCACTGATCTCCAAAAAGCCTGTTCTGCCATTACCGATTTTGTTTTATAAATGACACTGTCAGGTGTTATAAGGTCACAATGCACCTTCGATTTTCCAATATTTAGTTGAAAAACATGCCCTTGAACAATATCCTGGAAACAATACAAACTTGTTGTAACTTGCCATGAGGTAGTGATCTGAAATATAAATGAAGTTCAGACATTTGTTGTGAAAACTACAAAAAAAAAATCTGTAAAATCGGTTTCTCATGTATCGACTGATCTCTGATCACCCAAAAATTAAGGAAATCAGGGCGATAAATCGTTGCACCCATTAGTCATTTCTTTTATATTGCATCCACGTTTGTTCTAAACTCACTAGGTGTCAGTGTTGTAAAAGGAAATAAATCTATGTGCTACAGAGCACCTTTCCTGTCTCGTTTCCCCCACATATATATGTAAATCTTTATTTGTTGATTTATAGATTTTAAAATGACGTGAACAAAATAATCCAACTGCAGCACATCTAGTCCTGAAAAGCAGAAACGTTCATGTTTGACCAAAGACTGAGCTTGTAGACGACCTCATTTTGACATGTATCATGAATGAATTTAAGCAGTATATTCACTTACATTTAATTTACAGACATGTTTCACCTGTGTTGGACTCTTCCTGATGATGCCACATGTCAGGGTTTGGGCTCCTGACTCACCCGTGAGTCAAACGCTGCAGTAAAGACATCCTGAAGGACGTGGTTTTGAGTTACATACACTGCAAGCAGCGCACAGTCGTCTTCTAGTCTGCATGAACGGAGCGTGCATCCAGGCGTGGTGAAATAAGAGGGCTGGAATCCAGTTTTCCACAGAACTGATCCAAGCCTACCAGCTGTGACTCTGGTTACACGACATGTTTCAGGGCAAACTGTAACGGCTGACTGGAAGGCATGTTGTCTCACCCTCCACCAATGACAGAACTACAAAGGCCTCGGCTCAGATGTCAGTGAGACGCAGTTGGCAAATGGACACTCGAGCAGTCTGCTTCATCAGGCTGAGTACAGACGAGTGACCCGAGCATGAAACTAAATGTTTGCTCTTATCTCATCCGGTGCCAGTAACTCACAGGCTTCCATTACAAAGCACTGGAACCTGCTAACAAACATCAGTGATGTCATTAGGGAGAAGACTGACAGACTATTTTTATTGATTTTCATTCTTTAAAGTTGCCATATTATTGTAAGAACAGTATAAATCAAAATGTGACTCTAACGTGTGTCCTGTGAAAATAAAGAACCAGCATAGAAGCAGATGTTTTTTTTATCATATTGTTAAAAAATGTTGAGTCCCTGGGTATCCATTGGTGTTTGATTCTGTTTTTTTGCACAAAAGCAAAAAATAACAGACCACTTATAGCTGCTTCATACGCTTTGACTCTGATTTCTTTCAGTCGTTTTAATAAAATTACCTCAATAGTAAATTATTCAACATCTGGATGAATATAAAGGGGAAGCTGAAGCAGCATTTTATATTTTATGATGAAAAGCATGTCATGACAAGCTCCTGGCAGCAGAGTGTTTAATGTGGAAACAGCGCAGGAGAAAGTTTAGATGCCGTTCAGTGATCCTTCTCCAGGAATGAGGTGTTTATGTGTTAAAATGAGGCAGTGACTGCTTTCCAGAAGGTAACGCAAAACAGAATGTTTCAAATTCCTGCTCTTCTGCTAAAGAAACCATGTGATTTCAGACAGCTGTTTCTTGTTTGCCCCAATAAAATCACAACTACTTGTTTTCTACAGAACTTTTATTTTGTTACAGATGTTTAAAATGGAATGGTATTCATAAAAAGTAAAAAAAATATTTGAAGCTAAAATACACAGCGTGACCACACACATTGTAATGTTCTTGTGGGATAGGTGGAACCTTCCCCAGCTGTCATCAGACAGGGGAAACCCTGAACAGGGTCCTGGTCCATCGCGGGGCCAAAAACCACAGAACTTTGATGAATTTCAGCTTGTCTTGACCTTTAAAACTTCACACCTGTTTCCTCCAACTCTTCGGTTTGTCTCCACCCATGTCATGAGCCGCTCCAAACTGTCCAGCTGTAGCACTCTCCAGTCTCAAAGTGAGAACAGTGATGTTCCAAATCAGGAAGATACAAGGTATAAAACATTTTTATTAAGATAAAAAGTTATTTTTGGACTGTGACTTTTTATATTTGAATATCCAGTTGAGTTTGGTAACAAACCTTTAACACAAACAAAGCTGTAAGTTAGCACATACCCATAATGCAATTCTTCTAGGTTAAAATAAACTCTTCTTCTATGCAGAATGCTGTTCAGGCGACTCATAAACAATATTTTTAAGATCTTAAATGCTATTTTTTGACAAAAGTGACCAATTACAGTACATCATTTTTTAGTCACGTCAGACTTTCATCTGCAGGTTCAAGCACTGAACCCTGAGGAACTCCATGACTAACTTTGGTGTATAATGAAGATTCATTATTTACATTTACAAATTGGAATCTATCAGATAAATATGATTTAAACCAACTAGAGCCGTTCCTGTAATCTCAATAAATACCTGAAAAGATACTTTGTATTTCTATTGTTTTTTTCCATGTATCCACAAACAGCAATATTTTAAACAATTTAAAGTAGCAGTAAGAATGGTGATTTGGCATGAAGGAATGTTTTTATATTTACGTGTACAGTAAATTTATTGAAGTCTACAGAAAGGAGAAAGCTTTTATTTTATGTTACAATGACCAGCCTCAGCTGACCCACTAGTTGATTAGAACTCCTTTGACCATTTGGCCCACTTCGTACCAGTGCCAGCTTGTATTTAGTTCAGGTCAAATTATCCCTCCAATTTCTTCCAGACTGAGTCCAAACAGCTTTATTGTTGGCAGGCAAAAAACAATAGCTGCAAGTAAAAAAAAAAAAAGAAGAAAGAAACTAGTTTCACCACAGATTGATCATTATGATCAGGAACTGGTGATTTCCAAGAATTATTAAATGTAAAAAATCACAAGTATTTGTGCAGTTTATCCAGATTGTTTTGAATGTAACAGCAAAATGAACTCAGGTCATCAAAATGCATAAATGTCTTTTAATTTTTTATTATAATTTGTCATTTGAGGGTCACAGATTGTAGTTTACCAGTGGGATGACATTTTATGTATTTAAAAACAAAGGGTGGCCCATTAATCTGAAATAAAAGCCATAAAATGCTCATTTTAGTCAAAGAAATCCAAACATTTATTTCTCTTAATGTCTTACACAAATGATCAGTGTGGTCTTTACACATGTGCACAGAAAATATGTGAGTTTACAACAATAAACGCTCCAGTTTTAGAGCTCAGATGAACGTAAACTTAAGACATTTATTTGACCTACTTTATATTTACACCATAAATACATCACAGTATGCTGAGCGTTAACCAACGCAAAAAAAACAAAAAAACTTTAAACTCTGTTTCACAAACAGATATATTGATATACTATCTTAATATACAGGAAAAAGTGGATATTGTAAAATGGTGATTTAGTTACATATAGTAAACACATAGCTCTATACATTTTACAGACTCACGTTATTTATTCTGGACATGAAAAGAATAAAATTCAACACTATTTGCACAGACATGGCTGTGAATGAGCAGAAAAAACGTAAACATTTGATTATGAAAATCCTGCTGTGCTTCTCGTTCTCAGTAATTAGGACGACAACACGTCGGTCAACACAAACACGTGGACAACAAAATGAAAAACGCCCGAGTCGGACTCTGAGTCAGATACAAACATAAGACAACAGCTGAAGGACTTTTAAGACTGCAGTTGTGAGAGGAAGCTGTCTACATTCTTGTGCATGTGCAATCACATACACACACGCGCACACGCAGAGCAAGCGAGAGAGAGTTCCTGTTGGCAACAGTCTACTTATATCTCGTTCTGCAGAACGCAGCTTGAAATTAAAAGTGGTAAAACACTCTTCAACATGCAGTAGATATTAGAGGCTAACTTTGTGGGGTAGAAGCGTTTCCTTAACAAATGACACTCAAATGCACATGGTAGGTGAATGTTTTAGAGACAAAACACAGCTGCAGTGTGTGCCTTGAACAGGCGCAGAGTCACTGTTTTTTTGCACCAACCAACAGTTTAGTCCATTCTCAGGAAGTGCTGCTTCTCTTCCTGGTCCTCGGCCTCCTCTTCAGAATGTCCTCCTCTTGGTCGCTTTCACAATCCCTCTGGAGAAGACATGTTCAGAATAAATAAATAAAAAACCCTCACATGTAGAGCCCCACAGCTGAGGGCTTACAAAGCACAATGTCCAGAGTACTGGTGCTGGTCATAAAATTAGAATATCGTGAAAAAGTTGATTTATTTCAGTAATTCCATTCAAAAAGTGAAGCTTGTATATTATATTTATTCATCACACACACACTGATATATTTCAAATGTTTATTTCTTTTAATGTTGATGATTATAACTGACAACTAACAAAAAACCCAAATTCAGTATCTCAGAAAATTAGAATATTGTGAGAAGGTTCAATATTGAAGACACCTGGTGCCATGCTCTAATCAGCTAATTAACTCAAAACACTTGCAAAGGCCTTTAAATGGTCTCTCAGTCTCGTTCTGTAGGCTACACAATCATGGGGAAGACTGCTGACTTGACAGTTTTCCAAAAGATGACCATTGACACCTTGCCCAAGGAGGGCAAGACACAAAAGGTCATTGCTAAAGAGGCTGGTTGTTCACAGAGCTCTGTGTCCAAGCACATTAACAGAGAGGCAAAGAGAAGGAAAAGATATGGTAGAACAAAAGTGTACAAGTAGTAGGGATAACTGCACCCTGGAGAGGATTGTGAAACAAAACCCACTCTAAAAAGTGGGGGAGATTCACAAAAAGTGGACTGCAGCTGGAGTCATTTCTTCAAGAACCACCATGCACAGACATATGCAAGACATGGGTTTCAGCTGTCGCATTCCTTGTGCCAAGCCACTCTTGAACAAGAGACAGAATCAGAAGCGTCTCGCCTGGGACTGCTGCTGAGTGGTCCAAAGTTATGTTCTCTGATGAAAATTAATTTTGCATTTCCTTTGGACATCAAGATCGCAGAGTCTGGAGGAAGAGAGGAGAGGAACAGAATCCACGTTGCTTGAGGTCCAGTGTCAAATTTCCACAATCAGTGATGGTTTGGGGAGCTATGTCATCCGCTGGTGTTGGTCCACTGTGTTTTCTGAGGTCCAAGGTCAACGCAGCCATCTACCGGGAAGTTTTAGAGACTTCATGCTTCCTGCTGCTGACCAACTTTATGGAGATACAGATTTCATTTTCCAACAGGACTTGGCACCTGCACACAGTGCCAAAGCTACCAGTACCTAGTTTAAGGACCACGGTATCCCTGTTTTTAATTGGCCAGTAAACTCACCTGACCATAACCCCATAGAAAATATATATGGTATTGTGAAGAGGAAGATGTGATTCACCAGACCCAACAATCAGAAGAGCTGAAGGCCACTATCAGAGCAACCTGGGCTCTCACAACACCTGAGCAGTGACACAGACTGATCGACTCCATGCCACGCCGCATTGCTGCAGTAATCCAGACAAAAGAAGCCACAACTGTGTTGAGTGCTGTACATACTCATACTTTTCATGTTCATACTTTTCAGTTGGACAACATTTCTAAAAATCCTTTTTTAATTGGTCTTAAGTTATATTCTAATTTTCTGAGATACTGAATTTGGGGTTTTCATTAGTTGTCTGTTATAATCATCAACATTAAAAGAAATGTAGTTTCACGTTTTGAATGGAATTACTTAAATAAATTAACTTTTTAATGATATTCTAATTTTATGACCAGCACCTGTACAGTAGACAAACTGTTTAGGCTGTGACACTGACATGTTTTACAACATTTATTGCTTTGGTTCTTTAGGGGAATAATATGGCATGAAATTGGTCTCGAAAAGACTCACACACTCGTGCAACAAGATTTGTATGCGCACAACTTACTTCACAAATATGTACTATGCCCTGAGTAGTAATACACTACGCATACAAATTGGAAAATGTGCGTGCACTTATCGCCAGCTGTGCACCGATCAGCTTGCCTGTGCTTACGACGTTTTGAGACTTTCTTACTGCACCAGATTCACAAATAAAATGATGCGTTCAAGGCTAGTGAAAAGCTGGGATATTTGAGCATTACCAGATTTATGGGCTACTTATATACGTAATGCTTAGTGCATTTGAGCAGTACTACAAAGTTAACATTTTTTACTATCAGTAACGTTAATTTAAGTGCATATCTTTAATATAAATATAGATGTTATCAGGGCTTAATTTGTAAACCAATTGATGCAGGAATGCAAATAGCGGGTGGATCGGCTAGGTGTGGGGCCTAGGGATGCGCATGCTCACGAGAGAAGCACCTGATAAGTTGTTTAATGACATAAAATACATTTTGTTAGCAAAGAATAGAGTCCTAACATTTATTAAATATTACTTCTGTATTTACAAAAAAAAAAAAAAAGTAAAAAATTTTGCAACTCATCAATAAAACTAAAAAAAATTGTTAAGGCGAAACAGGATAAAAAGGGGCAGGTATCACTCTTGCTTTGAGTTTATTATACTCTTTGTCGCATGCGTGCTGTGGGTGACAAGCATCCAGAGCTTCATAAAAACAGCAGCTGAGGACTGAGGAGGTGTTGGAGTAATTTATTAATCATCTCAGCAGCAGACAGGAGCGACACCATTCAAGCATGGCTCCCAAAACGACAAGGCAGTCATATTTGTTCATAACGTTATTATTAGTAAGCCTGAGAGTTGCTGGATCAGAGCAAACAGTTGCCAGAACGCAACCTGGATCCAGTTCAAATTAAGCCCTGGTTGTTATGGGTTACTGAGCCAAGTAAATATGGTAATGCTCAGATATCTGAGCTTTTCATCAGCCTTGAACTACGGTGGACCTGAGGTGTAAATGAACAATATTTGAAAAAACTGAATTATTTTGAAAAAAGTGAATTACATTTGAAAAAAAACTGAATTACATTAAGCCAAAGCAGAAGTGGTGGGGGGAGGGGTGTTTTTTTTTTTTTTACTTTATTACAGTGGCCCTGAGGCAGTTTGGTTTAATGTAATTTCATCCATCCATGCATTATCTTGACCCGCTTCTTCCATTTTGGGTCACGGGGGTCACTGGTGCCCATGTCCAGCAATCACTGTGCAAGGGGTGAGGTACACCCTGGACAGGTCGCAAGTCCATCACAGGGACGCATAGAGACAAACGAGACAAACAACCATTCACTCTCTCGCGCACAACTAGGGACAATTTAAAATACCAATCAGCCTAACATGCATGTTTTTGGTCTGTGGGAGGAAACCGGAGTACCCGGAGAAAACCCACGCATGCACGGAGAGAACATGCAAACTCCACCCAGAAAGGCCCCACAGACCGGGATTTGAACCAGGGACCTGTTCGCTGAGAGGCAGCAGCTCTACCAGTTGCGCCACCGTGCTGCCCGTAATTCCGTTTTTTCAAATGTTGTTCATTTACACCTCAGGACCACCGTATTGAACGCATCATATCATTTGTGAATCTGGTGCGGTAAGAAAGACTCAAAACGTCACCAGCACAGGCAAGCTGATCCATGCACAGCAGACGATTCGTGCACGCACATTTTCCCATTTGTATGTGTAGTGTATTACTACTCATGCCATACACATTTGTGAATTATGTTGTGCACATACAAATCTTGTTGCATGAGTGTGTGTCTTTTTGAGACTAATTTCATTCCATAGAATAATCTTTAGTGTGCTGAGGGAGCAGATCGTGGTTCATTGCATACAACTTTATTAGCTTTAAATTTTATAACAAACCCATCTTCTCAGATTTAATTGACTAAATCACAGATTTAGACCCCTTCAAACAGGAAAGCTGTGAAACTCTGCAAAGATCGCCACACGGACATGAAAGCAGTGCCAGTTTTAACTCATAGCATTAAAGTTTAAAGTGTTTAAAGTGCTGCCATAGTCCTTACCCCGTTCTCTTCAGGCATCTTCTGGTTCTTCTTCATGATCTTTGTTAGATGGTTGCACAAAGCCACAATCCTGAATGACAACTGGACAAACACACACACACACACAGCAAAGAGTAATAATTAGAAAATCTGTCAAGAGCTATATTTTTTTAACAGAATCTTCATTTACTGTAAGTTTGCTGATGCAGTTTTACCTTCCACCTCCGCCTGGCGTACTGCCTCCTAAAGTTCTCCAGGTTGACCACCGATAGCCTCTTCACCATGGCCTGCCTGGAGTTCAGAGGCTGCAGAGCACAACGAAGGATGACAGAAGAAAAAAAGAAAAAGACACTTATAAATGTTTTAATACTTACGAAACATTTGAAAACAAAGTACTCATCTAATTTTGACATTATGGCTGAAGAAACCCACTGGAAAAAGAAAAGAAAAGAATAAACCTGGACGATAAATGAAAACATTTTATTTCAGAGTTGACGAGAATGAGTGCACATAAAAGTTGTACCAAATGAAACAAGCAAGAAAGGAAATGATGTGTTTTTTATGCAAACAAGATCTTATCTGGTTCCTGTAAGCTTTACGACATCTTGATTTAATAATCAAACAATATCAGTTAAATAAATGAAAATCAATCTTGAGTAAGAGTGTGCATTTAAATTAAGAATACAAAACAATAAAAATATGTATCATTGTGCATTAGAAAACCAATGGTGAATAGATAAATAAATATAATAAAACCACCAACATACATTTTAAAATCCACATGGAATTAAAAAAAAAACCTTTCAAATAAAAAAAGTGCATTATTCACAATAAAACCTTCATATTCAACAGTTGTAGTCACTGTTAGTGCTTTTAATAAAAAGCACATAAAATGATAAAATTAAACAAGAGGAATATATAAATAAATTTGTTTGATCATCTTCACGCTCACATTCTTAACATTGTTTTATTGTATTTGGCATAAAGGCAGAAACTTGACCAAAAGCTGAAGCTGCAGAACAACCTGTGAATTATGCCAGACACACATTTGAAGATGCACAAATCATCCATGGTGAACTATCCCATCTCCTGTCACATCTTCTGATCAAGAGTTAGCAAAATAAATAAATAAATAAATATAAATTGCAAAAGGAGGCTCTTTGGGGGGCTATTGATTTCGTCAGACATCTGATCTCCCAAACATAGCTTACCATAATGGATTTTAATTTGTGCATAAAGTTTAAAGTTTTCATACAGCTGCAGTACTTGAAGTTTGGTAAAATATAAAAACACTCATCGGTAGTTTCCACCTCTGCAGAACCGGGCAGACCTCACATGTGATCACCAATATTTTAGCTTCATCTTAATTATTTCGGTCAATATTTTTTTTTTTTGCATGACTGTGTTCAGAAGAAAAAAAAAATCTAATACAATAAAAACCAACATCTAGAAGGTTATACTGATCAATGCTTCTCTGTACAGATTCCCCCAGGCAGAGACTTGCATTAGTAAAGTAAAGTGCTTTGTGTTGTCCATGGCAAAATTAGTTCTCTGCATTTAACCCATCACGGGATGCACCCAGGTGGAGCAGTGGGCAGCTATGTAGGTGCCTGGGGAGCAATTGGGGATTGGGTGTCTTGCTCAGGGGCACCACGGCATGTATTGGCTAGCATTGCTAGCAGCAGGACATTGTACAAAACAAATCACAGTGTTTGGTTCGGCCCAAAGCAGGTCTCCAAAGTTTCTATACTCAAAAGGTCCTTACTGCAAAGCCATGAAGACTGGTTAAAAAAAAAACATCTAAGAAAGAAACAAAATCTGCACATTTTTCCCCCTCTCATATCAATTATTCATGTGTTCTTGAATAAATCATTTGTGTGCAAAATATATGGACCAGAAGCCATTTGTCATGTGTAAACAGCTGAAATGACTGAAAGTCTGTCAATAATGGGGGACGTCCATGGAAGTGTCTGACAATTTGGATGCACTGACACATGTTTATTCTTAGATTTGTTGAGTAAAAAAATAACAAGTTGGGATGAAACTGTTAAGGTATCAGTCCAGAAAAGTGTTGCACATGCTGCGTGCGTCTGAATGCCGAGCTTTGTTTTTATGGCTGCTTCATTCTCAATTCTTTACATTTGTGTTTTTAGATCTTTCTCGTTTCTTTTGTACTTGGCAGCTGATTCACTCTTACCTTTCCACCTAAATGTCTTTTTAGAGATTCCATTCTGGTCCAGTTCTGCCATATTTGTTTACCTGCAGTGTTCAGCAGGTCAATCGCGTGATTCAAGCTTCCAGTTGGATTCTCTCTTTCCCTCTCGATGAAGCCGGTTTCTTTCACCCGTTCCTCCAGGGGGGGAGGAACGGGTGAAAGAAACCGGCTTCATCGGTTCCTGCTTTTTTGCTCTCTTGTCCTGTGAACCTCCTCAGAGCCTCTCTTTACACATCTTCTGAATTGAAATATTATTATGGATCTGGTCAGCTGGTCTCTCAACGCAACTGATAATTTTTTTTCTACTAGAAGACGGGGTCCAGGAGAGCCCTCATGCCCTGAAGGGGCACACGCAGCTGGATATGTCATGGATTCCTGGGATGTTTGGAAGATGATGTGCCTGTCTGTGCTGTCTGTTGAGGACGTAGAAGACACATACATAATTTAATTTATGATAGCAGGGTTTCTGCTTTTTGGAATCAGCGTATACCTGGGATATCGATTAATAAAGAAGACGTCGGCAGCAGTTTTGGCAAAAGTGAAGCTGCAAGCCTTACATGAAGGATTACTCTGTGCTACAAGCTCTCAGACTAATATGCTTTGCGAGCGGAACCGTAAGTTGGACGCAATTTCTGAGAATCGTGGTCCAATTGCAGCTCCTAGGAATCGCTGGCATGAAGGATTCGACCTTGGAGAAGGCCAACAAGCACAGAATGGCGGAATGTCCACGGATCTGGCTGTTTGGATTCACCACTGAGTGTACCAGCAGAACTGAAGGCAGACATGTCAGTAGAGTCTGCCTGCCCAAAACAGTTGTTGTTTATCTGAATTTGGCCTCCCCCACTGGTCTTGGATAGGCCAACCTATCTCAAATTGCTCCTGGAGGATACATAAACTAAGAAGCTCTGCCTGTCCCCCACCCCCCACCCCCTCCCAAGGACATCTGTGGCCTTATCAGAATTGTGCCGCTGATAGACACTGTACCATATTATCAGAACTTTGGAACTTTCTGGAGTGTTTAATGACAACTCACCGTCTTTGTTGACCTTCTATGCATAAATGTATTATGGTGTCATTGTATGTTGCTGTTTATGTTGCAAGGTCTTTTTTTGCATCTTTTACACTGTGCCCCGGCCACGACATGGTGTGAGACATGTTTTTATTTAAACGTCCTCCACCATTGTGTTCTCTTTTCCTCACCTACTCTGTATGTTGTATGTAACAGGTCTCTTTTGTAAATGAATCCCTGAGGCTCAATGGGAACCAACTTGTATAAATAAAGGTTGAATGAATGAATGAATGAATGAATGAATGAATGAATGAATGAATAAATGAATGAATGAATGAATGGTGGCTTCACCTGCGTGGTTTGTTTACACTGAGTGCGTCCCAGCTTTTCAGAATTGTGTATCAGTATATTTGAAAAAAAAAAAACAAAAACTATGGAGTGAACTTTTTTCAAACTGAACCATTTGATGTACTTCAGAATAACTTCTTCATGTTTGATGTCATATTTTGCACAGCATACCTTTAAAATGTGCATTTCACAGATTAATCACCTTTCATTTTTATCAGGAAACAATAAACAGCCATCAAAACTTTGTGCTGTTCAAAAGAAATACAAATCAGTATGTCTGACTCATTAAAAATGTTCTTTAAAAAAGTGTTTTCAGGTGATCAGTTAGGTTATCCAGACTCTGTGAGAGCTTGCTTGGTCTTCACGTCAGCTCTGCAGGTCTGATGCAGCGGCTCCTTCGGTGCTTCATCTGCAGTTAGACCATCACTGTGGGTGCTGTTGTTGCCTCCATCAGGAAGCAGAGCACCCATGAGTTCCTGCAGCCACAACAGCTCTGCGTCCAGCTCCTGCCTCAGGCTGTCCAGCTGGCTCTGCCTTCGGTTGTACTTTCTGCTGAGCTTCTCCAGATTAGCATCCATGGCCTCGACGTTCTCCTGCAGCAGCCGCCTGGTGGCCACCACTTTACGGAGCTCGTAGCAGGCCTGAGAGAGACGCTTCCTGGCAGCGTCGCTCTCCTCCTTGTACCAGGCCTCCTTGTCGTTATAGATGGCGAGCAGTGCTTCTATGTCGCATCGCAGGGTGTGGTTAGCCCCCGCCACCTCTGAAATCCCAGCATCCATCAGGCTGATGTGCTCCACCACGTGAACAAAATGCTCAAAGTGAACATACGTGTTGTTGGGAAGCATGCTGGAGCGCGACTGAACTGTGTACTCCTTGAGACGTTTGGTCTTCAGCGTCTCGGTTTTCTTCTCGGCTTCGGCTGCATCTTCTGTCGGGTGGGACTTCAGTCAGAAGGGTGGAGGAAGGAGGAGGAGGAGGACACTGAGTGAGAGGCTGTCTCATTGTTGAATCTTGAAAACACACACTTGTAGTGAAAGGATTAGTGTGTGAGCCCTAGGAGCTAAAACTGTGGCTGGTAACAAAACACACCGCAAACATTCTGGATGAGTGAAGGTTCCTGGCTTCATGCTTGGATCCAAACGGGACGAGGACTTCACGTCCAGAACACTCCACATGCTTTACAGCAGCCATTGTGACTGACTTCTGTCACAGAATGTTACATTGTCATGCCGTTCCAAAAATAAATAATGAAATCCTGCTTGGTTTCGTTCACGTTTAGACAAATATAGATTCTCTGTTCAGACACCCTGAGGGAGTAAATGATGAACTGGTTTCAGTTGTGTGGGGTGAAACAAATACTCCCTGAGGGGGTGGTGTCTGTCCAGAAACATATACAGCGAGTGGGCGTAACCTCTGGGATTGAAAATCGGAATATTTTCAAATGAATTTGTCTCCCCTTTGAGAAACGAGCCCGTTATTATTTATATACCTATCCAGTGCTTCCCTTTTTGTTTGTAATTGAACGTGACTGTGACGTGAACACAAAGCAGGCAGTGATGTAGCGTGAACCCAGTCCATACCGTAATCCACGGGTGATTCAGGGCATCTTGTATCTTCATCCGTTTCCTGAAACGACAGGAGAATGCAGCTGAGTAAATAATCCCCAACAGCTCCGTCGCACACAGAGCAAGTTAACCTGTCATGAGTTTTAATGCGAACCTCTCAGGACGGTACAATCACAGGAAGATCAAGTTCCAGATTTGAAGGGAAACACATGTTAAAGCAGCAAGAGTGATTCTTTGTTTAGCTTTTGGTAAAAACGCGGTTCAGTTAATCGATTTTAAGTAGTGATGTGTTCAACTGCACATAAAGATTTACATTTAATGTACATCGATTGTTGTTTTTCAGTCGTTCACCTCGTGTCCTTCACCAGCAGCTGTCTGATGAAGCTTTTGGCGAGCTCGCTGGTGTTGCTGAAGAACTCCTCATCGAAGTCATAATTCATGGCTGAGATGTTCGCCAGCGTTTCCTGCTTTGTGTCGCCGAGGAAAGGCGACGCGCCACTCAAACTGAAACGACAGCACAGACTTGCAGACCAAAGCTCTCGCTTGACAATTTTCCAAGATGTTCTGTAGTTTGTGTATAATTGCGACAACTTACAGTATATAAGTGATGACTCCGATGCTCCTGTGAGAAACAGCACAAGGTTAACCAACAGCTCTGTACTGCGACCCTTTGCTTTGAGTCAGAGGTAGTTAATTATTCTCACCACATGTCTGCTTCCAGTCCCAGCTGCTCGTAATTGACTATTTCTGGAGCTGAAAGCAAAGTTTAAACTTAACTTCACTAAAAAGCACAAAGCCAAGAAGGAACTAATGTTTTTTTTATTTTATGCAGAGTTCGTGAGAAAAATTACCAACAAATTCAGGCGTGCCAAAGATGTTTTTAAAGTCTGCCCCCGGCACGATTTTGTGCGCCAATCCAAAATCTATGATTTTAATCCGGGGCAGAAGGACGCTCCTGTCCAGCAGCATGATGTTTTCCGGCTGCAGAACAAACACAACAAAACAAAGACGCTCATTAGTCAGTAGGTTTCCAATAAAACCACGGCTGAATTTCACACAAGCAAGTAGTTAACTCAGGTTACCTGGATAAAGATGCCTTTTGCGTTTGCATTTAAGGGGAAAAAATATACTTCTTAGAAATGTATGAAAATAAATCCTTTCAGAAATGATTGTTTTTCTCTAATGCCTCTGATTTATTCATTCTACGTGAAAACAAAGAAAACACGAGGGGCCTCAGAGCGTGCTGCTTTTCCACAGACAAAGCCAGCAAAGATTGGCTGAAACGCCATAATTTAATCCACCTTTTGGTTAAATTCCACAAATATCTCCTCATATTCCCTAAGCAGATTGTTCTTGTGGCCTGTGTGAAATATCACAGCCCTGACTCTGAGGGAAAAGCAAAATGAGGTTCAGACATTGCTACATTATTTCAGCTGAGAACAGAACAGCTATTTAAATCTTTAAAAAATGTTGAGAACAAGATTGTATCATATTGATGTGCTCAACAGCACTCTGCAAAAACTTGTTTTTTTTATGATAAAAGTCAGCAGGGCTTAATCAGCATTTGGTAAACTGTTTCTATGATTTGTTGAGAAGCAGCAGCTGCACTTCTTTACTTCGTTGCAAACATTAACAAAGCTCTGCTGTGAGTACGATCATAACCCAAACCTTAACACGTCATAATGCTAAAAAAAACCCAACAACTTTATTTAAACAAAGCAAAACAATGGCCAACCACTGCCCCCCTTGAGAAAATCACGAAGGAGCACAAAGAATACAAGGAGGCATGGAGGGCCTGAGGGGGCAGTAAAGTTTGACAGGTGAGTGAAGTGAAACAGAAAGATTGATGGAGCTGATGGGAAGAGTGGCTGCAGCTGCGACTAATTGAAACCAGGAACGGGTGTAACTGGGTGTGGCAGACTGACTGAGGCAGAGGAGTTAATGGCACAAAGAAAACTGAAAACTAGGGACGCACAATATTGGATTTTTGGCCAATATCCGATTTGCCGATATGTGAAAAATTATTTTGCCGATAACCGATACCAATACCGATATTTTTTCCCCTAGACCTACTTACAGAGACTACATAGCTTTCTCTGCTGTGGAATTAAAATGCTACATTATTCTAAATGGTCTTTGTCATTTTGGCACCTCGCTTACCCTGGAGACAGTTCCCACCTGCCTGAAGACTGCCACCATCATCCCAGTCCCAAAAAGCTCTACAGTGACTGGTCTGAATGACTATCGGCCAGTGGCCCTCGCCAAGATAGTCGCTAAATGCTTCGAAAAACTGGTCATGACTCACATCAAAACAACCATCAACATCAACGACGACCCTCATCAGTATACATACTGTGAGAACCGATCAACAGAGGATGCCATCTTTTCTGTGGTCCAGACTGCGTTCAACCACCTGGAGCAGAAAAACTCTTACGTCCGTATGCTCTTTGTGGACTTCACGTCTGCCTTCAACGCCATGATCCCCCAAACCCTGATGGACAAACTATCCACACTAGGACTAAGGCCCTCCATTTGCAACTGGGTACTAGACTTCTTAACAAACAGACCACAGTTAGTGAGGATCCACAACCTCTCCTCCTCCACCATAACCCTCAGCACTGGCTCTCCTCAGGGATGTGTGTTGAGCACCCTCCTGTTTACTCTGCTCACATACGTACACTCTGTACACTCACAAACTGTATATATTTATACCTATAGCATATTCAAAGCAACTTACTGTATATTGTACTTTATATATCTACCAATATATTTTTCTTGCTAAGCAATTCTGGATAGATGAAAACTGCATTTCGTTGCTTTGTACCTGTGACATGTGCAATGACAATAAATTTGAATTCTATTCTATTCTATTCTATTCTATTCTATTCTATTCTATTCTATTCTATTCTATATGATTGTGCAGCTACGCATCCAGACTGTCATGTTGTAAAGTTTGCAGATGATACAGCGGTGGTGGGATGCATCACAAACAATGATGAGTCCAGCTACAGGCAGGAGGTGGAACACCTGGAGAGCTGGTGCAGAGAGAATAACCTTCACATCAATGTGAAGAAGACAAAAGAGATGATTGTGGAATTCAGAAGGAACAAACACACCTACACCCCCCTGAACATAAGAGGATCTGCGATGGAAGTGGTCTCCAGCTACAAGTACTTGGGTGTACACATGAATGACAACCTCAGCTGGAGCAACAACACCACCAGGCTGATCAAGAAAGCTCATCAGAGACTCTACTTCCTCAGGCGGCTGAGACGAGCTGGTCTGGGAAGCTCAGTCCTCACCTCCTTCTACAGGTGTGCAGTGGAGAGCATCCTGTGCTCCAGCATCAACGTGTGGCATGGAGGCTGCACAGCTGCAGAAAGAAAAGCTTTGCAGAGAGTGGTGAAGGCTGCACAAAAGACTGTTGGAGTCAGTCTCCCCACCATCACAGACATCTACACCTCTAGATGCAGGAAGAAAGCCACCTGCATCATGAAGGACCCCACTCACCCAGCACACACACTTTTGGCCCCGCTCCCCTCAAGAAAGAGGTTGAGGAGCATTAAGTGTAGAACCACTAGACTGAGGAACAGCTTCTACCCTGAAGCTGTTAGACTCATGAATCTCTAACCAGAATAATCACTGTGAAAAAATCACATCATGTTGCTGCTGATCTGTTTCATGTTGTTGCTGATCTGTTTCATGTTGCTGCTGATCTGTTTCAATGTTGATGTGTTCATGCGTGCACATCTGCTCACACAGACTCATGTTCATGTTTGTGCTGATGTTTGACGTAATGCTTTTTATGTTATGAGTGCTTAGTGTATATTTAGTTGATGTTTTTCTTAGTTCATATCTTGGATGTTATCATTGTTTTTCTTTTACATTTTATTCTTAGATGTAACTGGGACCCTGTGTACATAATTTCGCTCCACCACATTTACCACATAAGGTGCGAATGAGAATAAAGAATCTCTGACTCTGACTCTGATATACACAGTGCCTTTATATTGGTGAGTTCTTTTGATGGAATGGCTGATGTCCGATATTTAACTTTATCAGTAATATAGACCGATAACATGTCGATAATATTGTTCATCCCTACTGAAAACAAATAATTTTACAGAACAAACAGAAAACATAGCTCAGTTGATCGATTTACTCCAAGATCTCACTTTCTCCAATGTTTTTTCTCTCAGTCATCTCACAAATTGAAGTCGGACAAAGTCTAGGGCTGCCAAAATTGGAAATAATTTGTAAAAATCTGTTAACTTCAAGAGTATGAGAGATGAGAGAGAGAGCGAATGGGAGGCACATCTTTCAGTTCTCAGGCTCCTCTCTTGTGGTACCAACATCCAGTTTCTGTCCATGAGGCTGACACATTGTCCAGTTTTAAGACTTTCCTTTTTGATAAATCCTATAGTTAGAGTTGGCTTGGGTTTCCTGAGCTATCCTTTAGTTATGCTGCAATAGGCTTAGACTGCTGGAGGACAAACTGACCCCATTTCTTCACTCTGCTGCTGTCTTTACTTACTCTACTCTACCTAACAGGAAGGACCTGTGAATCAGAAGCGTGAGACTCTGCCCTCTGAAACAACAAACACCTGCTGGATAACTTTCACGTGAGGCTCGTTTTGACTTTCCTTAACGTATCCTGTTCAAGTAAAGGATTTAGGAAGAGGAGCGCTGCGTTGTACCTTCAAGTCAAAGTGAGCGATCCCCTTCGAGTGGATGTGGTGAACACCGTCCAGGATCTGCTTGATAAACTGAGTGGCCTCCTCCTCACAGAGAGATTCCTTCCGAGCCAAGAAATCAAACAGTTCTCCTCCAGACACCCTGAAAACATACACACACACACACACACCACTCTGAGATCATTTAGAGCTTCTCTTTATCTAAAGTGTGTCCTCAAGAACTGGATGCACACGTCCTGGATGCCTTGCATGTTTGTTGGGAGGCATCGTCTGAGACGTTTGACCTACTAATTAATAATGTTCCCTAAAACCTTTAGAAAACGTGCTGCAAAGCTTCTTGAAACATCTTTAGTAGGACAAGGTTGTTTCAGTCTGTCAGTCAACTCAGCAATAACTGGACTGAGCTTTAACTCGTCCTAATTAGACCCTCCATTTTCCCAGGCCATCTCTGGACATAAACGGGGGCCCGCTGAGGCACAAGCATTATTGTCCGACTGCTTATGAAGCATTCACACTGATACATTTTTCTTCTGCATGTTTTTTGGTGTGATTTTCATCCAGTTTTCAAGCTGTTTCCACAAATCATACATCAAACATTCAGCTCTTTCTGGATAATCCTGCTATGACTTCCTATTGGTGCAACTTTAGCTTTTTGACATACTTAGCCTTTTCTTTCATTTTTTTTTTTTCATAGAAAATGAATTGAGCTCATTTTACATCCTTTATATCTTTAGATCTGTTTACAGCCCTTTACTGCTCCTTTCACATTTTGTTCTGGTTCAACTTCTTTCAGGTTCCTTGTGCAAATATAAAAACGTTTCAGCTACTTTCAGCTGTTTTTAGCTGTTTTGTTCTCCTTTCTGATTCTTTCAGCTAACTACAACATTGTTGTGCTTCTTCTAACTTCTTCCTGCTAATTTTAGCTTGTTATGCTCCTTTTGGCTTATTTATGCACGTTTCAGCTTATTCTGCTATTTCAGCTACTATTTAACTGTTTTAAATAGCTTTTTAAGCTAATTTCAGCTGTTTTCAGATACATTAAAGTTTTTCATGGTAATCTCTGCTACTTTCAGCCTCATTAACTTATTTCTGCTAATTTCAGCTATGTATGTCCCTTTCAACTTTTTTTCTGCTAGTTTAAGCTTTTTCTGCTATTTTAGCTACTTTTTAGCTGGTTTTGTACTAAATTTAGCTTTTTAAGCTGATTCCACATTTTTAGCTAATTTCAGCTCCGTCCATTTAATTTTGTTTAAGCTTCTTTCTGTTTTTTCACCTACTTTTTATTTTTGCTACTTTCAGCTTTTTTAGTTAATTTCCTTATTTTGTGCTCATTTGCGCTGCTTATTTAAACCTAATTCTGCAAATATGTGTTCTTTCTGTTTTCTTCTTCTAACTTAGGCTCGTTCTTCCATTTCAGCTACATTTAAGCATGTTTTTTAAGCTAATTTCAGCTGTTTTTCAGCAAGTTCTTCTGCAATAAGCATTTTCTTAAGTAAGCATAAGTAAGCATGTGTAAGCATTTTTACACAGCATTTTCTCTAGTTTACATTGTGATGTTGTCATTTGGTTCTTTCTGACCCACATGATCCTCCCAACAAAGGGACAAACAGTCCAAGTAAACAAAAAACAATTCTGACAGGAACACTGTTCAAGGTCCGAGGCTGTTCATAGTTTAAACAGCTCTAATGTTTTTTTTAAAGACACTGGATTTTTCATTGTTCATCATGTTAAAAACATGCATTTTGAATGTTGCTGTAGCCATGTTATATTATTCAGTCTGGCTGTTGAGTCTGATCACACAGCGTTTTATTTTAGTGCTGCTGAGTGACGGCGGGACTCACAGTTCGAGCATGAGCGTCACGTCTGTGCGGTTTTCGTACACGTCGTGCAGCTCCACGATGTTCGGGTGCCGGATCTGCTGCAGGATGTCCACCTCCCTCTCGATCTCCTCTCTCTTCACGCCCCGTCTGCTGACCCGACTCGGGCGTTTCTTGATGAACTTGGCTGCATACTGGTTGCCAGTGCTCTTCTCTTTACATCGTCTGACAACTGCGAACTGCCCGCTGCAGACACAGAAGAAAGAAAAGAAACTCTGACGTCTGACTCTGAATCATCTGGTGCCTTCATGTCAAAGTTTTAAACAAAGACCTTACATGAACTGTTAGCACTTTGCATATGCGTTAGGGATCACTCTTAGCTACCACTACACCTAAATTAAGCTCAATATCTGTCAAATTAACTGGGATTTTGGGCACTTTTGAGTTTGCTCTTAAATCAGGTTGACTCCAAATGTTGACCAGTTGCAGATTAACATTCAATGATTAATTCATGACAGTTTGAGTAAAACATGTCCCCTAGTTCACAAGATATTTTGCTAACAGACAGACAAACGCTCATTCACAGAAGCAGTGATCTCAGAGCTTTCATGTTGGCAGGCAATAAAGCTTCAATAAAATACTCGAAGCTTGTTTGATTTTAATATGACTTGTCACACTAAAAAGGTATTTCAGGTATTGTTTCGTATCAGCAGGATACGACTGCGGAAGAAACTGCGTGTCAGAAATGTCAGAAATGTTGTGGTACAGTCCATTACTTCCTGTTTCCTGGAGAGACAGAAGACAATCAGACAGGCTGACAGCTTGAACCAAGCCTCTGTCCTCCTACTCCATCCAACCTCCGGCCAAATTTCTTCCCATCTTCCAACATTTCATCTCCAGAAACTCTCCAAACCTCTGAATGTTTCACAACAAAAAGGGTGCAGCTTTCAGCTTCTCCACACAGCCGGCTCATTGTGTTCTTGTTTTGTTACGCACAATAAATACTTGCTTGTGACATGAATGAGCTGAAACACTGGCAGCTGAACGTCTTCCTGTGTCTTGTCAGCCATGAATGTCCTCCAGCACAATAAGTGAGAAGACGTTTTTAACACAGCACCCAATTAACAACATGTAGGAAGTCTGTTATCAGAGCAGAACACGAAATAGACTAATCCTGCTGCCGTGAGCTGACCTGCCAACACTCTGCAGTCAAACCAGGAAAACAAGCCTGGCTCTGCAGAAGCACGTGGGAGTGAGGAAGGGACAAAACCAACAAAACATACTGGGATCTGTTAGTTTCCCAGAATAAATTACTCCAAATTATTTTAGTGTGGAATAAATTCACCACTTTTATCACAACACATTCTACACCATGCTGTAACAAAAGCATGGTTTGGAGTATTTTCTACTGACTATGAAGAAACAGAAATATTATCCATGGAGAACTTAGAGAGGTGCAGGTATGCATTTAAAAGTGGAGGGATGAAGGTCAGCCGAAGTAAGACAGAGTACATGTGAGCACAGGTTGAACAGCTGAGAGATAAAGTTATAGAGACCAGACTGAGATGGTTTGGACATGTCCAGAGGAGGGACAGTGGTTTGGACATGTCCAGAGGAGGGACAGTGAAAAGAAGAGATATATGGATGCAGTTAAATGAGCATTAAGTGCAGAACCACTAGACTGAGGAACAGCTTCTACCCTGAAGCTGTTAGACTCATGCATCATCATCACTGTGAGGAAAAAAAAAAATCCCTGTAATGCCACTTTGATTGTTGATATGTGCTGCTGATTATCCATGCTGCTGATCTCGTGCTGCTGATTTATGTCATGCTGCTGTGTTCATTCGTCCTCATCTGCTCACACAGACTCATGTCTGTGCTGATGTTGTTTGGCACATTAGTGTTTTTGCATTATTAAGGGTTTAGCATATTGTTAGTTTAGCATGAACCACATGTGATGCCAAAGACAATAAAGAACCTTGACCTTGAGTTAGAGAGGTCATGGAGGCAGATGGACTGAGGACAAAATGAGATGGAGGAGGATCGCTGTAGTGACCCCTGACAAAAAAACATCTGAAAGAAGAAGATTGACCTTAAATAAGCATTTAAGGTCCTCCGTGTGCAAAAGTTTTGAACCATTTTAACTTTGACCAGTGTTTTTTCAGACTTTCTGAACATCTTTTTAAAAATCACACATCTTAAACTGCAACTGTGTTAAAACTGTTAAAAAGTATCAAAATGCCAGTTCAGTCAAACACAGTCCAACTTTCTACGTTTAACCTTTGAATGATGTTCATACTGTGGAATATTCCTGAGCTATGGCCTCCAAAACAAGCTGGGTTTTCTTGTTCGTGATACCCAAATCCCACTGACCTGCGCACCTTTAAAAACTTATTTTGTGACTTTTGTCTACGTTGAGCAATGAACCGCTACTAAAAGACCAAGTACTTCTCCATCAAGGCACATGTTTTTGTGTGTAATATTCATATTCTATTTCAAAGCCATGCAGTAAAATAGACTAAATTATTTTTAACAACATAAACCAAAATAAGAAGTGTTGGGTCAGAAATATGAATCAGGATCTGATTAAAACTGCCTCAGACCCCGAGACAGGCGTCATCCTTCCATCAATCATCTACTGTGTGACAATCATCTTGTGGGTGCTAAAATATCACTTTATGTTTAACAGTGAAATCATTATTTTTCATAGATTTAATAAAGAAATGAGAACAAATTGAGTATTTGTGTGTGGCTGCTGGTAAAAACGTTCATAAAAATCCAGTTTAAAAGGAAGATTGACGCCTGGCTGTGTGGGACGAAAGCATAAAGAAAAGAGAGATGACTGAAGAATTTAGTTGTGAAAATGCTTTGAACATCTTCTTTGTGGAAGAACCTGTAAGTCTGATACACCTGAATGAGGACCATCAAGAAAAAGGAGGGGGGACTTTACACAGTTTGTCTGATGCCCATTTGTTTTCTTTTTAGAAATGTTTTCACTTTTCTGTAAACTTTCCCATCAGGCTGAGCTCCTCTGCATCATCCAAAAATGTTTTCGGTCCAGATTGTTCCATTAGTTTGTGTAAGTGTGAGTTTGACCAGGCACAAGCCTCCAGTCAAGGAGCACACCAGGGACATATGTTAGGATGTTTCAGTGCAAGGGTTGGAACAAACGGTTGAACTTTATGTAAACTGGACAACAGAAAGAACCAGGAACAAGACAATAACTGGCAAGAATGTCATCTAGATTGGACACGAGCGTCCACGCAGAAATTCCAGTGTGGCGGTGATGTCCAGCCTGACTGGTGGGCTAATAATACCTCCACTCACTGTCTTTGTCTTCACTTGTCGCCTCTCTGCAGCTGTAGAGAAAACAGGAAGGGCTCTGAAGAGCAGGAGAAGTGGAGAAGAGCGGCCCGGCTCACAAACAGCACTTACATGAATAACACCAACGCATGACGAAAGAAATCAAGTAATTGTTGTGGTCAAAAGCCACGGCTGACTTTTAAACCACAGCATGACGGGAATGTTGACCTAATTTAAATTTAAAGTCTTAAAGACACACCCAGTATGGTGTTTACTCGTTGTTGCAATGACAAATTGATAATTAATAGATTCAAACACACAAACACATATTTCTTTAATGACCGCCATGCCGGAGGGAAGAAAGTTGAAACTTTAAATATGGCACCACGTGTGGCAGCCGACTACATTTACAAAAGGCCACCAGGATTCATTAAATCTGAACGTTGTCAACGGTTATTTCACCTGGATGTCTAATTATAAAGAATGTTTAACTATTGTTTTTCTTTCACAATATGCCTTTGGGAAATAAATCTTCTCAACCCTAAAGCCCATTCAGAGTGTGAACATGTTTGAGCAGAGGCTGCAGGGGAAAGAAAGATGTTTCAAGCTATACGTCTTGTAGAAATATGTTGACGGTCCACGGCTACAAGTCCTATTTGAAGATGTAAAAACAGCGGATGGGATGGAGTCCAGTAAACAGCCTGGAAACTCACATGTGTTGTCTGTGTGATCTATTTGCTGCCACCCCTGAGATTTCCAAGGAAAGTTTAACCTTGTTAGAGAAGACGGCCATTTTGGAGGGAACAGTAAATTCCTCAACAAAAAAAAAAACAAGCGTCACCCAAAGGAATGAACTGTCAAACGTCCGGAGCATCAACATTCTTCTCACTTTCACTGTCAAGCTGTTCTCTAAAGATTAACAGTCTGAGATGATGGTTGCATTGGACAAAGTGTCAGAGTAAAGAAAAAGGCTTGTAAGCTCAATCATCCAAGTAGATAACAACAAAAAAAGGTTAAATCGTGTCATCTGGACCAGTTTCTTAAAGTGAGAAACATTTCATCCCCCATCCAGAGGACTTCTTTAGTCTATAGCCTGCCAATCAGATCTGTCCCATAGGTAGCCTTCACTGCTGTGTTTCAAGCCAACCTCCTGTTGGAATCTCTTTTAACACGTGCAAAACACACTCATGTGTTTGGATCCATGTACAACAATCAAATGTTTTAGACCAGGCAGCCAACTTGCTACTCACAGAAACAGCCTGGGGACAACCAAGACCAAAGTGGTTCAGAAAAAGATTGGTAAGCTCAATCATCCAGGCAGATAACAACAACGATACTTGAAACACAGCAGTGAAGGCTACCTATGAGACAGATCTGGTTGGCAAGCCGTATACTGAGGAAGTCCTCTGGATTGTGTGTGTGTGTGTGTGTGTGTGTGGGGGGGGGGGGCGTTTCTCACTTAAAGAAACTGGTCCAGATGACATGATTTAACCTTTTTGTTGTCAGAGTAAAGGTTTTAGTTCAACGCTGCCAACAAGTGCAGAGTAACACAGGACAGGGACAGGATGCTCAGGGAGGTATTCCAAAACTTGCTTGGCGTGCCGTTTGTCTTAGCTCTTAAGCCTGTCGGTGTGGCTGAAAGTACCTTCTCTCTGCAGAGTTTCCACTTCCAACAGCTGAAGGTCATTATCCTCAGGCAAGGAATGCTCGGACAAGTGGCGCCCAACAAACATCTAAACACACTTGTCATCTGAGTAATCTCTGGAGCAGCATGACAAAGCTGGACAGATTCAGATCCGACCAAGTCCTGATCAGGACATCGCTGTAATTAGCACGTCAGATGTTTGACCGGACGTAGGGAACTCTAACGTCTAAAGTAAGACTCATCATTACCCAGGACAATAGGCTGCTTTTACGGTGTCTGAAAACATTTAAAAAAATGATTTATCTGAGGCATATTCACCAATAGAAAAAGCTAGGTTCCTAGATTTCACAGTTGAAACTAAAAGAAACTGCATGTTGAAAGGTCATGTGACTGTATTTCAATGGTTATAACATCAAATGGATAACAAAGTTGGAATTATGGGCACACTGCTAGCTCCATGTCAGGTTCTGGTGGTAGCTCCTTGGGCTAGTTATTACAACACGGAGCAGGATGACACAAGGAGATGAAGTCTAAAGAGCCCATCATACTCCATCCAAAGCCATGAAATCGGCTCTCGTTGACGAGTAGCTGCGTGATGAAAATTGTGTCATTTTGTTCTCAGAGCAGCTTCGCCTGCCCCTTATCCACACAAGACCCTGACCATACGTTTTCTCACAGGAGTATGCCCCAAGTATTGTGTGATGGGTCAGATGTTTGTGGGCGTTGATGGGGGAAGCTACGCGAAGGTCATGGATGTAATTAAATTATAGAACATGTGCGTTTGTCAATGTGGAAAAGCACTCGGGCATTCATCTGTACAGTACGACTCTTCAAGACATGCTAAGATAGTCAAATGGCCAATAACTCCTGGGTGGAGAAAGCACAGACATTGTGCATGGAGCAGTCTGTCTGCTGAAAATTACGGTGTTTTCTTCATGATA